CTGATCCTTTAAATATTAATCCTAATTCAATAGATAGTGTTGAAAAAATTCTTCTTCACATTGAAAAAATTTCTGGGATTAAAGAAGGAATTCGTAAATGGATAGCTGTGGCATGTGATGGTGTTCCATATCATCATGCTACCAAAATAAAAGAGAAATTTCCTTGGTTGATACTTGTACCTGGTCAGTTACATGAAGAAATGAACATGCTTCGTGCATATGTTGAACTGAATTGGTAATTTTTAATTTCTTTTCTTTTTAATTAAAAAAAATTTTTATTTACAATAAATTTTTTTAATTTACAATAAATTTTTTTAATTATTAAATTAGGGAAATAGATATCAAACAGTTTGCTAAATTACAAGGTTATAATAAATCAGAAAAACAACTTGGATATTTTAAAAAATGTCTTGATCACCATAAATCCTGGGATTCTATTTGCAGAATTTATCGTCAAGCAATGTCATCAGAGCTTATGTGGCCATATATAAAGACTCATGCTAATCCAACAGTAGAAGGTTATCTTGCTTGGGCTAAAGAACAAAAGGATCAACTTTATCAAATTAAATATGAACAAGTAAAAAAAAAAAAAATTTCTTTTATTTTATTGCAATTATATATTATTGTATTATTTATTAACATTTTTATATCAATTGTTTGAATAGATATTTATATATTTACAAGCAATTATTAACTTTAGAGTAGGTGTAAGGACTAACAGACCTTTGCTTAAAAGTGCAGCAAGAAGAGCCTTTTCACCTATTTGGTCTGCACGAAGGCATCCAATATATCAATTAATTGAAATTTCAGATGAAGTGCAATTAAAAAAACTTCATCCAACAATACGTGATATAATTGAACAAAATTCTGTAGTATCTCGTTCAGGATTATATAACCAACACCAAGGGATGGATGCTGTTTTAGAAGAAGTGAATAAAGCCCTGAAAACTTTAATACCTCCAGTTCCTCAAGAACGTCATTGGATAATTGCAGCACGTAATTGCAAAAAATTCTTTCAAGTAATAACATAATTTTAACTTTTATATAGTATAAAATTTTAAAATTTTAAAATTGACTTTTTGATTTACTTTGTGATATTATTATATACATATATTCAGTTGCGAAACAATTTTTTTGAAACAATTGGATATAATGATATACATACATCTGGACCAAGAACTCGCCCTGAACCAATTGCAGAATGTCAAAGATTTCGAGCTCATTTAAGAAATCTTAATTTTATTAATCCAATAGAAACAAGGGCTATTCATAAAAGTTTAGGTGAAGAATATGAGTTAAGTGATCAATTAAAAAATTTTAGTTATATAGCAAAAAAAAAACGACAAGAATATATTATGGAAGTATTTTATAAGAAAAATAAAGCTCCTTT